TACAACTCTATGACTGAAGAAATACTTCCTACTATCTCTCTGACTCATTTGTGTCTTCAACTTCCAATTGTGGCCTCTTGTTTCTGTGTCCCCTCCCTGGAACATCCTGTCCTTGTCCACCTTGTCTATTCCACGCAGTATTTTATATGTCGTTATCATGTCTCCCCTGACCCTCCTGTCCTCCAGTGTCGTCAGGCCGATTTCCCTTAATCTTTCTCATAGGACATTCCCCTTAGCTCTGGAACTAACCTTGTTGCAAACCTTTGTACTTTCTCTAGTTTCTTGACGTGCTTTATCAAGTGCGGATTCCAAACAGGTGCTGCATACTCCAGTATGGGCCCTGACATACACGGTGTACAGTGTCTTGAATGATTCCTTACTAAGGTGTCGGAATGCTGTTCTCAGGTTTGCCAGGCGCCCATATGCTGCAGCAGTTATCTGATTGATGTGTGCTTCCGGAGACATGCTCGGTTATACTCACCCCAAGATCTTTCTCCTTGAGTGAGGTTTGCAGTCTTTGGCCACCTAGCCTATACTCTGTCTGTGGTCTTCTGTGCCCTTCCCCTATCTTCATGACTTTGCATTTGGCGGGTTTAATTCGAAAGCCATTTGCTGGACCAGGGCCATCGTCCGGGTCTCTTTGAAGTCCGCCGGCCCTCATAAATTTAATTCTCCCATTAACTTCACATCACTGAAACGGGGAACTTCGATCAAACCCCTTCCGCATGTCGTTCCATTACCAAAATAGCAGGGTCCTAGGACCAACCCCGGGGGACCCCGCCGTCAAGGTCCCACTGTGATACATCATTACTACCATGATCTTTTTGCCCCCGTCAGTATTCTCTGATCCATTGCGGGCCCTTCCTGTTATAGCGCCTATGCTCTAGTTTCGCACAAATCTTTTGTGAAACGTGTCAAAAGCCTTTTGCAGCCAAGAAGATGCAATAAACCCACCCCCTCCTCTTTCTTATTTCGTTTTTATCATAAAACTCCAGAAGGTTTTGACACAGGATTTGCCTTCCGTGAATCCGTGCGGGTTGCATTTATATCTGTTCCGTTCCAGGTGCTCCACCACTCTCCTCCTGAAAATTTTCTCCAAAATTTTTGCATACTTACACGCATGAACAGTCATAGTTTAGTGCCCTTTTCTGTCTCCTTTTTTTGAAAATGGAACTACATTCCCGTCTTCCATACCCAGGTAGTTGCCCATTTCCAGGATGTTTGAAGATGTGGTAAGTGTATGCAAAACATTCTGCTCCTCTAAGGACCCTGGAGAGTTGTCCGGTCCCTTTCCCTTTTGGGGGATCGATTCCCAGCATTTTTTCACCTCCTCCCACTGTATGTATTCGCCCAAACATTTGTTGGTGTTTTCCCTTGGGTGTCCCCTCGGGTCTGTCCCCCCAAGTCCTTCCTGTCTCTACTGTAAATACTTCCTAAATCCGTGTTGACTCCTCACATACCTCTTGATCGTTTCTTGTGAGTTCCCCCCCCTTCTTTCCTCAGCCTTATCACCCGGGCCTTGACTGTTGTCCCTTTCCCCCTAATGGGCTAACGCAGTTTCGGGGCAGATTTTACTTTCGTGCTAGTCGTTTTTTATACTTTGCTGGGCCCCCCCCTTTTTGGCATACTCGTTCTGGGTCTTCACTAAAATCCTTTTTTTTCCTGGTCCTATCCTCCTGTACCTTTTCCATTCCTGTTGCACTTATTTTTGCCTCCCCCACACCTTTGGAAAAACCAAGGGCTCGTTTTTGGGGTTTCCATTATTTCGTTTCCCTTGGAAAAAAACTTTCCTCTCCTCCTTTCACTTGTTGCCACATATTCCACATCTCTTTACTGATTTTTCCACCATTTTCCTGTCCCCCCTGACCTCCGCAGAAGTTTCTCAAACCGTGTATCCCCCCTTTTATAGTTTGGCCGTCCCCTTCAGTTCCTGTTTCCCTCTCCCTTTAAATCTACTAATATCAAAACTCAGAACCACATGTCGCTACTCCAAGGGGGCCCCTTAAGGAGTCCTCGATGTCGGGAAATCTCAGTGAACACAGACCATCTTCGGTCATCCTCCCCTCTCCTCTGGTTGGGCCGACATGTTGAGCATGAGGTTTTCAAATACCACATCCAACATCTTGCTCTCCATGTTCGGGACCCCCATGGGGCTCCGGTTTTTCCCGTCGTCTCCCTGTGGTTAAAAACGCCCATTACCCGTAACTTTTCTCTGCCGAGTACTCTTCTTGCCACCCCAGCCGTGTGTCCCACCACACCCTGTTGTTTCTTGTACTCCTCTCTTGGCCCCCCAATTTTTTGGTGGGTTAACATCACTCCAAGACTACTTTTTGTTTTCCGGATGAATGTACCATAATGAGTCCTTTCTCCAACAGTCCCCTCCTTCCATTTCCTCAAATCCCCATTGGTGTTTTAGACATGCAACCCCTCCTCCCCCTCACTCCTTCTATCTTTTCCCAGAACTGATATCCTGTGGGAAAATTTTGTCTGTTTTTGCTCAGCGAGTTTGTTTCTGTGACCCTTGAGTCTGGGATTTTCACTGATTTTTTCTTCCACCCTCATGTTTATTCGTTATTCTATCCGCGTTTGTGAACCCAAAACCCTTTTTTTTCTTTTTCTACATTGTGGCATCAAATATATTGGGGGTTGGGGAGCGAGAGCCTTTGGGGGGGCCTATAGGGGGGTGGGTGTAGGGGGGTTTGTTGTTGGGGGGGGGGGTCGAATGCCCTAAGGGGCAGCTTTTTTGGGGAGGTTTTTGATATGGGGTTTGGGGGCAGAGGAACATGAGTGGGGTGAGATAGTGCTCAGTTTCGTGGGAAGTTGGGGGGGGGTCTTTTGGGGGGAATTTTCCCCGTGGGTTTTTGCCTTCCCCCCTGTTCGGGTCCTGCTCATTTTTTATTCTTCTCGTTCCCCCTTGCGTCTCGTTTCCCTCTCTTTCAGTGTAGTCCTTTTTCTTTTGTTCTGTCGCGGGCGAGGGATACCTCTGTACCCCCTCTTTTTTCCCTCAGTCTTCTTTTTCCCCTTTCAGAAACCGATTCAACTGATTCTTCCCTTTAAAAATTACTCTGACACCGATCCTCCACCGCAAACCCCCCAATTCTCTGAAAAAATTTTTACCTCGGTCATATTTTCCCTCCCCCCTTTTTTTTCATGATCCTTTAAACTTTTTTCTCCTCCTTTTTTTTTTTTTTCAAAGGTTTTCCCCCTTGGCTTCTTGGAGCCCGTACACAAAAACTGACCTCGCCCTTCCTCCTCCCACTGAGTTTCCATCTGCTTCCTCTGAGGCATTTTATTTCCTTCCATTGACATGTTCTTGCCTTCAGTCCCTGTCATATCCGAAACTTCTATTCTCAGTGGACTGTCTTTCCTGGCCAGCAGTCCCTTGCTACTGCAGTTGGCTGTTAGAATCTCTGCATATAACAAACCTTCATTGTCTTCGGACCTGTCGCTTGATCTTAGTGTGCTCTTCGTCTTTTCCCTGGCCCCACGTGGGTCTGATAGGGCCTTCGTGTACGGCATGTCTCCGTTGTTGCTTACCATCCCCTTGTCTGCGCCTGACTTTGAATTTCCATCATTGTCTTCAGACCTGTCGCTTGATCTCAGTGTGCTCATCGTCTTTTCCCTGGCCCCACGTGGGTCTGATAGGGCCTTCGTGTATGGTATGTCTCCGTTGTTGCTTACCATCCCCTTGTCTGCGCCTGACTTTGAATTTCCTGATGTCACATCTGAATTGTCATTTATCTCTCTAATCTGTTTCAGGCTTTGCAGTTTCTCTTCTAAGCACTGTATCCTAGCTTCTGCTGCTAAGACCTGTACTTCCCACTTCCTGCACTCTTCAGCTATCCGCTCCTCCATTTTCTTACCAAGCTCCACTATCTTCCTTCCCCACTCTTCCTCCCGTTTTTGGAGCTCTAACTCCCAGTCTTTTCTCCCTGGTTCGTCTACCAGATCTCTGGTTTTCCGTCCTCTAAGGCCACCCATATTTTTTTTTTTTTTTTTTTTTTTTTTTTTATTTTTTTTTTTTTTTTACCGCAGACAGAAGGCTAGCGGAGGGAGGGGGTGTGGGGGGGAGAGAGAAAGGGTAGAGAGAGAGGAGAGAGAAAGGGTGTGCTTGTATGCGTGTGCGTGTATGGGTATCTCAAGGAGGGGGGAATTAAAAGTGAGAGAGTAGAAGACAGAAGATACTGTAAGATGGAATGGTACGATTCCCATTACTGATAATCTGACTTATTGTCCATAATCAGAGATGATTGATCCAGTCAAAAGAAGTTGGAAGTAATGAGCATTTTTCTCCTGCTGGATATCAAAGAATTTAATGTAAGTGCCTCTAACAGTCCTCCAGGATAAGTCTAACGGGGTGAAGACTATAAAGATGCTATTTCCTCCAACCTTCCTGTCCGTCCTATCCTGCACAACATAGGGTTGTACCGAAGACAAAGCCACATTTTTTAAACTCCAGCTCCGATCGGATATACGCCCGAGAATAGAGCAGGTGGATACGAACCTTTCAAAATATGAATTGACTTTAGAGAGGAGTCAACAAAAAAGTTGAAAAACATGGAAGGAGACAATAAAGGTGTCCATATGATATTCGGCGAAGCATAAGAGCATCTCCTCGGCAAGGAGGGTCAGAATTTAATATGATTGAAAGTTTTTTTTTAAGATTCTTTACAGAGGCAAAGATTATTTTGCAATTGATTTATATAGAAACATAAGTGTAAATTACCTGGGATAACCCACTAAAGTTATTCAGAGTTGGAAAGAAAGACTCTTACCTGCGGGTTCCATAAACAACAAAAAGGCACAATGCCGTGACTGGAACAATACACAAATAACCCCCACATCTGAGAAAGAAGCTTATGATGACGTTTGTGCATCATTCAGTGTGACGACTTTTTCGTTGGGGGGGCCTTGCATACTGCGTGCCAGCAACGAAATTACATTTCCGTAAGAAGTAACAGCCTGGACACTGGACAGGAAAGTGCTGAAGGGGCAAACAAATGAGACAGAGACTGGTTCTTGCCGTCTCACCGCCAGGACTTGTATCCCATGAGACTGGCTTCAGAGATCGCGTGAGTCTCGCTTGACGAGGAACTGCCTGACAGTGCTGTCGAGGCGGGTGATGAATGAGAACCTTCGCTTTGGCTGAACCGGAAGACAGGTGTGTGTGTGTGTGTGTGTGTGTGTGTGTGTGTGTGTGTGTGTGTGTGTGTGTGTGTGTGTGTGTGTGTGTTTATGTGTGTACTCACCTATTTGTGGTTGCAGGGGTCGATTCATAGCTCGTGGCTCCGCCTCAACACTGATTGCTACTGGGTCCTCTCTCTCCCTGCTCCATGAGCGTTATCAAACCTCGTCTTAAAACTATGTATGGTTCCCGCCTCTACTACGTCACTTTCTAGGCTATTCCACTGCCTGACAACTCTGTGACTGAAAAAATACTTCCTAACATCCCTTTGACTCATCTGAGTCTTCAACTTCCAATTGTGACCTCTTGTTTCTGTGTCCCATCTCTGGAACATCCTGTCTTTCTCCACCTTGTCTATACCGTGCAGTATTTTATATGTCGTTATCATGTCTTCCCTGACCCTCCTGTCCTCCAGTGTCGTTTGGCCGATTTCCCTTAGCCTTTCTTCGTAGGACAATCCCCTTAGCTCTGGGACTAGTCTTGATGCAAAATTTTCAACTTTCTCTAATTTCTTGACGTGTTTGACCAGGTGTGGATTCCAAACTGGTGCTGCCTACTCCAGTATGGACCTGACGTAAATGGTGTACAGTCTTGAACGATTCCTTACTGAGGTATCGGAACGGTATCCTTAGGTTTGCCAGACGCCCGTACGCTGCAGCAGTTATCTGATTGATGTGCGCCTCAGGAGATGTGCTCGGTGTTATACTCACCTCAAGATCTTATTCCTTGAGTGAGGTTTGCAGTCTTTGGCCATCTACACTATACTGTGTCTGCGGTCTTCTTTGCACTTCCCAAATCTTCATGACTTTGCATTTGGCAGGGTTAAATTCAAGGAGCCAGTAGCTGGACCAGGCTTGTAACCTGTCCAGGTATCTTTGTAGTCCTGCCTGATCCTCGACCAATTTGATTCTCCTCATTAACTCCACATCATCTGCAAACAAGGGTACTTCTGAGTCTATCCCTCCCGTTATGTCATTCACATATACCAAAAACAGCACAGGTCCTAGGACTGACCCCTGTGGAACCCCACTTGTCACAGACGCCCACTCTGACACCTCGCCACGTACCATGACTCGTTGTTGCCTCCCTGTCAGGTATTCTTTGATCCATTGCAGTGCCTTTCCTGTTATATGTACCTGATCCTCTAGCTTTCGCAGTAACCTCTTGTGAGGAACTGTGTCGATAGCCTTCTTGCAATCCAAGCAAATGCAGTCTATCCACCCCTCTCTCTCTTGCCTTACTTCTGTGTGTGTGTGTGTGTGTGTGTGTGTGTGTGTGTGTGTGTGTGTGTGTGTGTGTGTGTGTGTGTGCGTGTGTGTGTGTGTGTGTATGTGTGTGTGTTTTAGAGAGAGATGCAGGCTGCTCAGTGAGAGATCCCACTTCATCTATTTGTTAGTGCACCTGTATAGGTACTCCGAATGATTTATGTGACCTATATCAGGATCCCGGTTCACCTATACTACTACGGCATACATCAGGATGTTAGTGCACCTGTATTAGTACCACGTATGATCTATGCTTTATTTATTATAAGTTTTATAGAATACAATACATCTGAGCTCTAGAATTTAGGTAAAAAAAACTCATAGTCAGAAGAAACTCTGTCAGAATTAAGCGCTTCTTGTGCCTGATTCTGACATGTTCAGAATCAGGCAATAGGATTAATCAAACATTTCTAGAAAGGGGCCCACCTGATTGTGCATTAGTTGACAGATTTTATTCTGTCATTCCTTTCTCCTTGCTTTCCGTGCGATTACTCGAGTATACCT